TTAGTAGATATATTAGTTATAAAAAAATTAATATTACTAATACTATTAAAGCCTCTTTTCTTATAAATTACAATTTCCTAGATAAATAGTCTTCGGAAGTATTTAAAGATTTTCAGTTTAATTCTTTATATCTCAGACACTGTATTAAATAAAATACAGAAAAGACTGAGTATCTTAATTAATTTAATATTATATAATATATTAAATAATACAGCTACTCTGGTTTGAACATATTTAATCTATTCTTTTTAAATCTAGCTAGATTAATTTAAGATTAGTTTTATTACTAGCACTGAACCTATAGAAAGTCATTTTAAAATTAAAGCTTATATATTACTTAGATAAATTAAAATAATTTATTATAATAATAACAGAAACTATATATAAAACTAAAAACTGTCTTTTCAGTAACCAGATAATAATTCTAACTTCTAGAATTAATATCTATATTTTATAAATAATTTTCTAATTTTAAATAATTCTTTTTACATCTGTATCTATAAGAGTGATAACTGTAAAATCATTAATATTACTAATTCTAAAATAGAAAATCTGAGTATATATCATAAAAATTAAACTAGAGCAGACTTATATATTAAATTAATTTATCTGGTACTAATATACTATAATAAAAATCTATATAAAATTAATAAATTTAAAATACTAGTGAGAATAAAAAGAGAGTACCTACAGTTTATTCCAGATAAACTAGAATATATATATCTATGATTACTTAGCCGCGCTTTTTACTATTTAATATCTTGGAATTATTAATATAATTAATTATTACAATAATAAGAAATAGCTGATAAAAATTAAAAATAATAAAGTAAAGCTATAGTATTATTCCTGATAAAAAAGTCCATTAATATATATAGAATATAGATTAAAGTATTTAATATCTTCCTGATCTTATCTTTTAAGCTATCTCTATTTTTATCTTTATAAACTGTATCTATTAATCAGTATCAAGCTCCGGAATATCCCTGATATTCAGTATCTTTGAGTAGCTAGTCTGAAGAACTGGTAATATTTAAATAAAAAAATTCTAGTCCTAGAATCTAAAAGTTCCTTTTCCAGTAAATTTCTGATAAAATAGCCATAGAAATCAGAATTTATGTATTGATTCTGTGACTAGTACTGTAAGAATATAAATAAATATTATAATTTATATTACTTAATAAATTTTATTAGCTGTAGGAAATCTGCTACAGTATATAAAATTATAATAGTACTAAAAATAATTCTACAGAGTAATAAATTACCAGCAGATCAGATAGTTTTATTAAATACTGGTCCTCTAGAAAGGACAGCACCATTACCGTACCTGTAGTAATAATACTTATAATTCCAGATACCAGTCCTATACTGGTATGAAGATCAGGGTCCTCTACCTACAGAGCCGTGTATAGTACATACAAAAGTAATAACACAGCTAGCAGAGCCTATTATCTTGATATTAGTCAAGAATAAATGTCCCTGACTGTTATGTTTGGATTCATTTGTGATGAACGCACCAGTTTCGCCATTGCCAGTCGGAACAAGCCCAGTTTGACCTGGGCAGTGCGAAGGAAATGCAGTCGTTGGGGAACCAGAACCAGGAACAGGGCCGCTGGGAGCAATCCAAAGAAACCATCCTCAAACAGTAGTGTGAAATCGAATGGACGACAGTTGGGGTTAATACAAGGACCGAAGACATTGTCACTGTCTGGCAGGCATTCCATGGTGACTGATGATATCGTAGTGGAGAAGGGACGAATTGACGGGGATGATGGGGGAGGCGACCTGGATGGTCCCGGGCTACTTGCTATAAATACTGGATGGGGTAAGGGCCAGGCATCCCCCCCCCCCC